ATTCTCTCCATTAATGTCTTGATGTCTGGGTTTGTTGCATGTAACCAGTCATTCTGGGGGCTCTTCATTGTTTGTGTTCCAGAATCTGTTTTCTCAGTGTCTAATTTCCCAGAGGTCTGTGTGAGACCTATATTCTTCTTTGGTTTTTCTTCATTTGTGTGGTTTTTTCCCCCCCCTTCTTTTTCCTTCCCTCCACATCACCGTCTTCTTTAATTCTGTTATTCAGGGGTAAAGGGATTGGTTTTACTTCTGTTTGTTCCATCTCCTATTCTTTATGTATGTCCTCTTACTTTGTTCAATTCTGGAGTTGCACTGTAGGTTGGAGGTGATCCTTTTGCAGTTTTGAGATTTACTTAAGGGGAGAGCTGTGATTCAAAATCTGTCTGCAGGTCCTGGTATTCGCTGACAGGTGTGTGGATAATCTGGAACCCACTTCCCACTGCCCTGGAATCTGTCTGTGCAGTGGGGCTGTACGTTTAGTCCCTGAAATAAAATGTGGTTAGTAGAATGGAGATAATGGAGCAGATAGTGGGTTGAAGAGGGGAGTGGAGAGATAGAGGAGTAAGGGGGGAAACAAATGAGTGTGCCAACAAATAGAGAGAGAGGCCTATACTGAAACAGTTAAAAACAATAGACCACAGCTACAGACAAACCAACTCTCATACAAAAAATAAAAAATAAAAATAAAACATATAGTGATGTTAACATACAAGCTAACCAACCACCTTGTTAGTGTGCTGTTCCTCTATACAAAGATATGGTTTACAGAGAGAAGAAAAGAGAAGAAAAGGAAAAGGAAAAAAGAAAAAAGGGAACAAAATCAATGAAACACACTCTGAGACATTTCGTTTAAGTCCAATGTCCTTTCAGGTCTGATTTCTAGTTTTCTCTTCAAGCTGGTAAATTAGTTTGCAGTTAGGGTCAGTTGTCCCTGATCTGCTGTAAAGGACAGTTCAGATTACCCTCCATTCAGCACTCTGGTCTATGTCTTTATGAAGCTTGTTTCTCCTGTTTCGGTGTTGTTACCTTGAATCGTCAGCAGGTGGTGTTATCTCAGCTGCTTGCCCCAGAGGGGGTGGGGCCGGACAGGAACAAGATGGCTGCCTGCCTCAGGGCAGGCAACAGGAGCCTTACGGTGGGCAGGCAGGACAGTCTTGGTCGCTGGAGAGGTGGCAGCTATCCCAGCAGATCTTCCCTGAAGGGGTTTGATGTGGATCGCCTCGGGCCCGGGTGGTGTGATGTGCTACGGCCATCATGGAGGCCATGGCAGCAGCGGTGGCGGCAGCACCGTTTGCGCTGCAGTGACTGTCCAGTCCCTTGTGATGTCCCAGTGGTGGCAACAGCTGAGCTCTGTATGAAAAGCAGGTTGCGATGTTGGGGTCCACAGCCCCCTGGGGCGAGAGTCAGAGACCCACTGCAGATCTCCTTTGCAGAGGGCTTCAGAGACCAGGTTGCCCCGTCACCATCTTGCCGCTTCTCCTCTACATTAGTTTCTAAGGAGCATCTACCAAGGCATCCATCTTTCCTTCCTAAACAGATTCATGCCCCAGCCTTTCATTTTCTCTAGCACTGAGTTATTTCTCCAACAGTCACCTTCCAATGAGCTATTTAAAAGTTTTTCCCAAGTCATGGGGGAATATTTTCAATGATTTGGCTAAGGAAATAATTTCCAGAGTGTTTTATGGTTAATAGTACTTATACAGGGCATTGGTATTTCTAATGTCATAAGGGATTTAATTTACAGGTAAATTTGAGAATTGCTGTATTTTAAACACAGTTAAACTTTTTTTTAAAGTCACACAACTCTTCAGTACTTTTAACAATCCTCTATTATATGTCTCTAAAAGGAATATATTTCTAATGTATTTGATCATATGCCTTTTTATGACATAGCTAACTGGACTATTATTCCAGAAGATACACTTTGAGATATATCAGGTGTATTAGAGTATTATCACTAAGAATTAAGCCTTACAATTTTAGAGGTTTAACACAGCAAAGTTATTTGAAAGTCCAATTGATGTTTTCTTGCTTGGTAAGTGACTTTTCTCAATATGATAAATCAGGAACACAGGAGATTTCTATCTTATTACTCTGTTCTCCACTAGGATCTCAAGAGTCTTTTAATTTCAGTTAGTTATTGGTTAGGGGTGAGGAAAGTAGGTAAGATGGCATATATGCTTCTTAAAAATTCTAAAGTGACACATTTATTTCCACTTACATTACATGATGATAACTAGTTGCAAAGTCACACATTGATGCGGGGGTGAGTATAGAGAATCTAGCCCCTGTCTTGGTAGTTGCTTCCAAACCACAACCATATAAGAGAAAAAGTTTCTTATCCTATCGCATAGTTGATACAGAGGAGGAAGGAGAGAGAACTGGAAAAGAGGAGTGCCTTCTCCATCTAAATCTAGCAAAGATAGTTCCAGGCAACCCATTCTGGTAATGAGAATTAATTTTCCATTAGTACATGACTATATATATTGGTTTAGGGTCATTTTTTATTATTGACAACATGTTAGCATGTTAAATATTAACATATCTAACAATAGAAATAAGTGAGCTAGTCTGAAATCTACCCAGAATTTATAATATTGTTTATAAGGTAAATGCATTGTCCTTAAAATTAAAAAGAACTTTGATAATTATTATTAGTTTGAAACATGTCACTTTTAACTTTTACTTATTTCCCTAACATGGTAAAAAATGAGCCAATTCTAGTAAAAATCTATGAATGTATAATTTTCTATTAGGTACATAGAAGTTCAAAAAGCTCCTTAGCAACAAAATTTGTAAAATGTAATGAAGAGTTTATAAAAGTTTAGAAAATGATGTTTGTATTTCTTGTACTTGGTTGAGAAAAATCAATACTTTAACCTTTTATAAAGGCTGAAAGATATATTCTTAGCCATCTATCTCTTGAGAATGTAGAAGATTATATTCTCCTTACACCAAATCATTTTTTGAATCTTCTTATGTGCTAGATTTATCTCTGCAACTGTATAGTGATCTCCTTGATAGAATGTGTCATACCTTATGTTTACCGACTATTCATCCACTTATTCAGCAAATATATGCTGAGTTTCTATTGTGTGGCAGGCATTGTGCAGGCACTGAGAATAGATTGATTAAAAAATATGTGATTTCTACCTCAAAAATATTTCACTATGTTAGAGTTGAGAGGAATAAAAATATATTACTAAAACATAGTGCAATTAGTGGTAGTTACACATGTCTACTTTGTGGAAACTTATTAATTTGAATAAGTTTATTTTGTGCATTTATGTGAATGAATATTATTATTTTGTACTTACAGATCTAAAACTATACACACAGTAAAAGGAGAGTTTTGGAGATCAGTAGGTTGTTTATATATTTCCCAAGCAGAAATCTCACTCAACCAAAGTGGTCATGAAGGAGAGCAGAGATGAAAAACTGGATCAGGAGAAATGGAAGAAATATTTCTAGCACAAAACACACAAACATAGTGTTAAGGATCTTTACTTTTATACTTTGGTTTATGTAGAGTCTTTACATAATTATAAGCTTAGGGTGTCATGATAAAATTTTATTTTAGACTGAAAAATAAGCTCTGGATGCAATATAGAAGATGAATAAGTCAGAAAGTATTTTAAAAGTTTATATCATAATGTAACACAGGTGCAGTGGCTCACACCTATAATTCCAGCACTTTGGGAGACTGAAGTGGGACGATCGCTTGAGCCCAGGAGTTTGAGACCAGCATGATCAACATAGCGAGACTTAGTCTCTCAAAAAAAGAAAAAAAATTATCTAGGCACAGTGGTGCATGTCTGTAGTCCTAGCTGCTTGGGAGACTGAAGCAGAAGGGAGACCAGGAAGTTGAGGATGCAGTAAGCCATGATTGTGCCATGGCACTGAAGCCTGGGCAACTGAGTGACATCCCAAATCAAAAAAAAGTCAATAATTCTAAACTATGACTGTGTGGATGTGAATAAAGAATAAAGGATTGTTTTCATAAATGTATATAGTAGAATCTATGGAATGAACTGTCCAACTCAATATAAAGAGTTATGAAAATCACAAATTGTTATAAAAATAAGGGTGTGCTTATCTTTGATCTGTAGTGGGGAGGAGAAGGCTGACCCAAAAGGATCAGCAGATGGTATCTGGGGTGCTGGCAGTGTTTGGTTTCCTGACCTGGCTGAAAAGGAAAAAGAAAGAAAGTTGATAGATCCCTTGCAATGGACTACAAATACTTGTTGATCAATGTAAATTTTATTCTTAGAAACTTCTCATTTTAGCTATGGGTCTACTGAAGCGCAATTACTTTTGTCACAGTAGAAATATTTTGGATTACTCATTAATGTATTATTCTTTTTTGTGGGGTTTTAATTTTTTTATTTGAAAGATGTAGGGTACAGTTCAGGATTAGGTATACTGATCAAATCCGGGACTCCAGCCGATTTGCTATAGCAGGTGATGGTGTGGGCCAGGTTCCAGGCGATGAGAATCAGTTGGATTTGGCAGGCTTTTCTCAGGAGAGACCTGTGAACTGCAGACGGTCGGGCGCACCATGGCCTCCAATCTCAGGGAGGTGGAGAGTTGCAGTCACCTTCAGAGGTGAGCCCCGGGTGCATGAACATGAGTCTTTCTCAAATGGACTTTCACTCACCCACCAGCACACGCTACTCATGTAGAGAGTCTATGGATATTCGTTTTTACGGAGACTCTCACAGTCCCACCTGTCCTGTTGCCATCTTCTGGGATTGTGTCTAATGAATTATTCTTAATAGCCAAATTCTGGAGACTTTGTCAATGATCCATTAGCTATAAAATAGATAAATAAACCATGGACTTTTAATGAGACTGAATATATTTTCATATGATTAAACTATCACTTCTTGCAACAATGTGGACAAATCTTAAAAGAATAATATTGAATAAAAGAAGACATGCACAAATGAATTTATACCTACATGAGTTCATTTACATAAAATTTAGATATTAATGAATATCATGTCTTGAGATGTAATTTTAGCTGGTAGGATAAAAATGTAAGACCCTTAGGGTCCCCATAACGGTCATGTTTGTAATGACTTTTGCTGTGGATAGAGAAGTTTTGTTGTTGTAGGGATTCATATAGGACTCTAGGAAAGCTGACAGTGATCTCTTTCTAGACTTAAGTAGAGATTACACAGGTGTTCAGCATAATAATAAATCATTAACTGTGCTTTTATGTATTATCAGTTTATGACATATGTATGTATGTGTGTGAATGTGTGTGTGCTTATAAAATAACATTAAAATGCAATTAGGGTAAGTTATTTAATTTAGTAAAAGAAAATATATTGTTTCAACTAATTTAGGCTACTTTTTGTACTACTCATTGAAAATGATACCTATTTTTATTAAGTAGAAATATTTTTTGCAGCTCTTTCTCATGTTTTTTTAAAAACAGGATTTAAAGGTTGTCACTAAATTGGTTCTTAGCTGTAGAACATCTCAACACAGCACATCTTTTTTGATAGAGTAAATAAAGCAGAATTTTCTTGTACATTCTTAATACATAACTAGTGTTATGTCAAAGTATCTGACTAGTGATACTGATGATTATTAGAGGTACAACTTAAACATCTACTCTGCTAAGCAAGGGTAAGCTAAGAATAAAAAAGCAATGGTAAGGACAGTTTAGAGAGTAGAATGTTAATGTCATCAGTTTAAGCAAATATTCAATAAATAATTTTTATTAATTTGTTTTATTTTACAGATGTGGCATAGAAATCAGGTTTAGGTATACAAGTGGTAATTGTATAGGCAAAGTTTGGGCCTCCCTTTGGTCCCCACTTCACCTGGTTTGAGATCAGGTATCCTTATTGATGTTATGTCCACCTCCCTTCCTCTGACAGTTTCCCACTACTGCCAGTCCCCTTCTTATAATATTATGAAAAATGTTCAGTGTCTGTTTATGAATGATAACATGTGGTATCCAGTTCTTTGTTTCTGTGATAGATCACTGAGTATTATAGACTCTAAATCCATTCAAGTTGCTGTGAAGTTCATAATTTTGACCTTCTTTATGGCTGGATCATAATTCATCATATATATATATACATACATATATATATATACCACATCTTCTTTATCTAGTCCAGTTTTGACAGCATGTTTGTTCCATGTTTTTGCTATTGTTAATAATGCTGCAATAAACATGCATGTGCAGATTTTTTTTTTCTAGAATGATTTGAGTTCCTCCCAGTATATTACCAGAAGGGGGATTTCTGAGATATATATATATATATATATATATATATATAATTTTAAAGTCGTAAATATATATATTTACGACTTTAAAATTCTTTGATCCTGGGTCAATAATAGTGTGCTTTCTTAAATTGCTATCAATAAGATTTTTTTCTT